CAGCAGCTTCAACAGCAGCTTCTACAGCAGCTTCAACAGCAGCTTCTACAGCAGCTTCTACAGCAGCTTCAACAGCAGCTTCAGCAGCAGCTTCAGCAGCAGCTTCAACAGCAGCTTCTACAGCAGCTTCAACAGCAGCTTCAGCAGCAGCTTCTACAGCAGCTTCAACAGCAGCTTCTACAGCAGCTTCAACAGCAGCTCAACAGCAGCTTCTACAGCAGCTTCAACAGCAGCTTCAGCAGCAGCTTCAACAGCAGCTTCTACAGCAGCTTCAGCAGCAGCTTCAACAGCAGCTTCTACAGCAGCTTCAACAGCAGCTTCTACAGCAGCTTCAACAGCAGCTTCTACAGCAGCTTCAACAGCAGCTTCAGCAGCAGCTTCTACAGCAGCTTCTACAGCAGCTTCAACAGCAGCTTCAACAGCAGCTTCTACAGCAGCTTCAACAGCAGCTTCTACAGCAGCTTCAGCAGCGCATCGTTTTCAGTTAACGTTTGAAAACGTAAAGTTTCCAGGAACTGTTTACATGTAAACAAGTCGTCTGTTTCCTGTCCAGTAAACCCCACAGCCCATCCTGAGCTTGGTTCTGCTGGAGGCGACTTCCTGTTTGAAAGGAGTCATTTCGTCCCACTGTCACCAACGGGTGATGGTGCTGAAGTGAACGTGACTAACTGGACTTTTCCTGCTCCATTAATAATCTGAACCAACCCATAACAAACAGCTGATTCCGGTTTTTTCCAGCCCGACAGTATCAGCTGGAGCAGCTGCACGTGGTGAACAACACGTGCACTGTTTACTTCCTGCAGGCCTACATGCGGCCCACCGAGCAGTCAATGGCGGCGGGCACGCCCATTGCGCGAGCACGTAGCAGATAAAGTCTGCTGTGCCTCAATGAACCCGGAGAATGTGATTAAACTGAGGGGCACGAGAAGAGCTACAGTCACGTGATCAGTAGTCGAAGATAAACGTAAATCAGTTTCTGTGATGAATGCGTGAATAAATAAAGAGCGTGAATGTTTGAAACGATTTAAAATACATGTGACGTCACCGGCTGTTATTAACCCCCACACACCCTCCCTCCGCTCTGTCCTCCTCGCTGCGAACATCACATTCAGCACGTAGCACGCGCCACTCTCACAATGAAGCTGCTGTGCGTAAGCGGAAACACCGCAGCGTCACTTTCAAATTAAAGCACCTCCTGGTGGCTGCTCCGACGAAACGTTTCTCACTTAAAGAAACTGGTCCACACGGCACGGTTTAATCTTTTTTTGTTTTCTGAGGAAAAACAAGCTGTGAAATACTTTTATGTGGATACGAGTTTTTAATGTAAGAAAACGTTCATAAATCAGTTAAAGTTCCTAATAATAGTTAATGTTTTAGTTAGCTACAACATGCCAGTGACTGCAAACGAAGGAAGCCTAAAACTGTAATTTTGGGGCAGCTAAAGTTTGTGGAATATTTAGGGTTGATGGTTTTATTTTGAAATTTAGCGGAAGTAGAATGTGCGTAAAGAAGCTAACATGGCGGCGCTTTCATTAAAAACTCGGCGACTCTCGAGTTTCAAACACAACTCGAGCCCTCAGGAACAGAAAGTTCCGCTTCCTCTCAGTGGTTTCTGTGGTTCCGTGAGAACCGAACCGCTGTCGGAGCAGAAAACTTGTGCCTGGTTCAGTTTTATGTAACTTTCAGAACCGTGTCCAGATCCGACACAAACATGCCGTTCATCGAGCACGTATCCTTCACGGAGCTGGAGCGTTTGGCTCTGGACCGGTTCGTCCCGGCCCTGCTGACCCACGGCTTCTGCTACGTGGACGGGCTCCTCGGGGACCTGGCCGGGAGCGCGGTGCTGGACCAGGTGACGGACATGCACCGGGCCGGGGAGCTGCAGGACGGCCGGCTCGCGGGCTCCGTCCCGGGCGTCAGCCGGAGGAGCATCCGCGGGGATAAGATCGCGTGGGTGGGCGGCTCGGAGCGGGGCTGCGAGGCCATCAGCTTCCTGCTCAACCTCATCGACCGGCTCGTGTCCGTGTGCGCGAGCCGCCTGGGGGCCAAGGCCATCCGCGAAAGGTCAAAGGTAAGAGACCGTCCCACCACCTGCAGGATGAAGTGGAGACATTCGGTTCTGCTGGTGGTTGAGAGTGATCCCAACAGGACGTCTGAGCGCAGCAGATCACCTGACATGAGACCAAACAACAAACATTTATATGAAAACCAAACAAATAATGTCGTTTATCAGGTCATGACCCCAATCTGCACGTTTGTGATTGATCAGCATTTAAAGCCCAATTATTATCAATAATAATAATAATAATAATAACAATAATAATAATAATTGGGCCACCAAACACTGGATTAAATCCAGATGTGTGACTGGTGAGAAGCTGTTAGAGAATAAATATCATGTTTTAGTTTCTATTCACCTTTTCTGTCCCGTTGTTTTTAGTTTTCAGCAGGTTGAGCTCTGATTTTAACGACGTCCACGTTTATTTAAATTTAAACTGCATCATCTGACCAAACGTGCCCTCAGGTAAATTTAATCTGCGTCGTTAATTCATGAGATTTGGACTCGGGTTCTGTTCGTGTTCAGATTTTTAATACTTTAAAACTTTTTTAAATCCAGACTTCTCTCCTGCACGTTCCGTTTATTTAAAAACTCTTGAGGTCGTTTTAGTTGTGGTTTTTGTGTTTTCCTCGCTCTGAGACAGAAACCTTTCCTGTCCGATCATGCAGGTTCTGGTTCTAGTGGACCGGCTCAGGGGTCTGTAGAAGTCCAGTTCTGTTCAGCCGGGTCAGAACTCAGTGTTTTGGAGGTGGTGCTCCACGCGCCTCACGCAGCTCCATCATTAAACCTTCAACAGACTGGAGACTGGCCAGACCCACAGCACTGACCTCACCTTTGACCCCTGTCCCTAACCCCGCCCACTTCTTGCAGGGATCAGATGAAGCTCAGTATCGCTCCTCTTCTCTCAATCTTTATGCTCCATTTCCCCTCCACCCACCTCCTCCTGCAGGTTTATACTTGGATGACCTCAGTCCTTGGAGGAGGATGGTGGGTGTGTGCACGTGTGCATACGTGCGTGTGTACGTGCTCTGGTGGCAGTGTAAACAAGCCCAGCCCCCCCCTCCCCCCCAGCACAGAAACTCATGGAGTCAGGAAGGTTTATCTTTGGTGTTTGGCATCTTTCCCTGTTACCAGGAAGGGGCGGGGTTTCACAGCAAAGTGGGCGTGGTTTGTGTGGTTAGACTGCTCTGTGGCCATTGTTTGGGCATAAATACTAGAGATAATACGATATAAATACTAGAGATGATAAGAGATAAATACTAGAGATGATAAGAGATGAATACTGGAGGTGCTGCTGAAGCTCAGGTGAAGCTGTGAGTGTTGGGGATGACTCTCAGGCACCACCACACTCAGCTCAGTGTCTAAAACTGTTCCAGTCGTTTTTGTACGTTTGATCAGCCGGGGCGGCCATCTTGAATCAGGTTGTCTCCATACATTAAGTTTTAGCCGTACAGCCGATTACTTTAGAAACGTTTCTATAAAATTCATCCTGGGTGAATGACCTTCATCTGTTTGACCCCACCTGCTGTTCACACACACACACACACACACTTCCTCCTCGGCGTCCGTCCCGTCCACTCCGGTAGTTTTCCTCAGGTTAAGTAAAGCATGAGGAAACAGCCGAATGTTTCAGGTTATTAAACATCAGCTGAAGAGGAAGGTGAGGAAGATGAGCAGGCGTGACCTGAGGGAAGAGCTCAACTTCAGCCCGTTACTGGTTTTAATCTTTAATCCCAACTTTAACCAGTTCTGTTGAACTACTGATCAGAACCAGTTCTATTTAAAGTTCTAGAGGCCAAGCACACACACGTGCGCGCGCACAGACGTGAGCAAGCATGCGTTCTGTTTGTGTACGTGCAACTGAAGTCGTGGACACAAAGACCTGCCCCCACGTTCACCAGAATTATTAACTAATCCTCGTGCACTGACACGAGCGCACACAGGAACTTCCTGTCAGTCGGCTCCGCTCATCTTCATCTGATGATGATGATGGTGTCGGGTCTCGTTGAGCTCCTTCACTTTGATTTCCGGGAGTCGACACATTTGATTAGTGAACGTTTTGTTTTCATTTTCAGATTTCTCTAGTGTCTGGACCATTTCTAAAATATTTATAAATGTTTAAATTTAACTACTTACACTGCATCTTTAAAACAACAGTAAAAATAAAAAGCTCATTCAAAGCGGTGGTTCTGAACTGGTCCAGTTTCAGGACACCATCAACCCTTAATGACGAGTCGAGAGCAAAACAAAAACAAACTTTAACTAGATAAATTGCATTTCCTGCACAAATGCAGCGTGAACGCTTATTGCTGAAAAACAGCTGAAATTAGCTGATATGGAAGAACAAGCCTAAATTAGCAGAAGAAAGCAGAAACAAATATTTGCTGAATTAGGTTTAAATAAGCAGAAATGAGCATATTAGCAATTTAGCTAAAAAAGCTTAAATTAGCAAAAAATAGCTGAACAGTAGCTGAAAATGCAGAAAGAAGCTTAAACTATCAGAAGGAATTGGAAGGATGTGGGATTAGCTGAAAAAGCTAAATTTAGCACAAAAATAGCTGAGTTAGCAGAAAAAGTTGAAAGGAGCATAAGCTGAAATTAGCTAAAAAAAAAAACGGAGCTAAAAAGGTAGAACAAGCTTAACCTCTTAAGACCCGAACTCTTGCATATGTAGATGGTCCTAGGAGGTTAAATTAGCAGAAGCAACAAGAACACATTTGCTGAAAGAAGCTGAACTGAGCACACACGGTGGAAATTTGCTAAAAAGATGAAATTGGCGAAAAGTAGCCAAAAAAGCAGAAAGAAGCTGAAATTACCAGTAGGAAGTCGAGAGAGCACTTTTTTTTTTGCTGATTTAGGCTGAAAAAAGTTTAAATAGTGCAGAAAACTCGGAATTAGCTGAAAAAGCTAGAATTACCATACAACCGCTAAATAGTAGCTGAAACTTGTAGAAATCAGCTGAAAGGAGCATAAGCTGAAATTAGCAGAAAGAAGTTAGAAGAGGCACAAAAATGTTGTAGCATGCAGACAGGTGTACAAACAGCTAAAAAAAGTTAAATTTTAACAAAGAAGCTGAAACGGAACAAAATGTGAAAGGAGCAGTAAAAAGCTGTAAACAGCTAAAGATTTGAAGGATTTAAAATGAGCTCAATTAATTTTTATGAGAAAAAAATGACAGAAAAAGCTAAATGTCAAAAAGCTAAAGTTGCACCAGTACCAAAAGTCCTAGCAGGATTGTCCTGAAGGAGCTGAACGTTTTGATTTATGATTTGTTGAAATGGTTTGAAAACTGCGGGACGAGAAAGATGCTGAAGAACATCTGGAAGTAAAATGGCCGACGAGGCGACGCTGCTTTATGTTCTCGTGATTAAAACCCGTCCCTGCGTCAGATCAGCTGAGTTAAAGTACTTCAGTAAATATTTGTACCCGTTGGTTCCAGTTTGAGGTATTATTAAGTACGTTAATGGGAGATCATGTATTTAGTGACGTTTCAAGGGTGTTTGGTTGTTTCTGGGTGTGTTTGTTCCTCGGATGTCTGACCTGGTTCTCCCCGCTTGTCTTTAGGCCATGGTGGCGTGTTACCCTGGAAACGGTGCGGGCTACGTCAAACACGTGGACAACCCGAACCAGGACGGGCGCTGCCTCACCTGCATCTACTACCTGAACAAGAACTGGGACCCCAAGGTGCTGCTCTCACTGTGAAGGTCAAAGGAATGCTTGTCACCCGCTGCCCTTCATGTTGCTTCTGTTACTGACTCTCAGCTACTACCACTCAGTTCATGGAGCCACAGCCATGTTTAGCTGGGGCAGCCATCTTGAATTGGTTATAGAAGTTAATCAGTTGCAGACGTCCTTCCTGAGTGTTGTTAAAACCTGTCCAGTGGTCTGAGATATTTTGCTGACACAGGTCTTATTAAAGCAGTTTAAGGTTCCAACTTCACAACACGGATGTAAAACGTTTTATCGTGACGCAGTGAGGAAGCTAAAGGGTTAATACTTGTTGTTGTTGTCGTCAGGAGCACGGTGGCGTCCTCAGGATCTTCCCTGAAGGCAAACCCTACGTGGCCGACATCCAGCCGCTGTTCGACAGACTCCTCGTGTTCTGGTCCGACCGCAGGAACCCACACGAGGTGCAGCCGTCCTTCGCCACCAGGTGGGTCCCGCTGAAAACACCCGGAGACCTCGGAGGAGAACCAGGACCGGTTCCTGGTTCGGTGCATACCACGCTGTTCCAGCAGCAGAGGAGCAGCTCCACTAACATTTGCAACAAGCTGCAGGAGTTAGCATGTTAGCAGCTGAGATATATACAGCTGCTAACAGCTGCGGGCTAATAATCAGCTAATTCGCACCGATCTGGAGCAGACCAGCAGGAATAGAACTACTGTTTGTGTTTTTAATGGTTTAGTGCCGTGGTCTGGTTGCTGAAGGTTTCAGCACCGGCCCGGGTCTAAAACTGACCAGAACCCAGATGTTGGGTCAGAACCGGACAAATAATCCTTAGGATGTTGGAGCTTTTCTCTGTGCTCTGTATCTTAGAGAATTATTTTATCAGCCAGAGAAAGAGGCAAAAGTCTTCATCCAGGCTAGGCTAACAGCTAGCTGAATGAAACTTTTAAACACGAGCACTGCATCAGCTGATGTCACAGCCGTGCACTGTGTGCACGCTGTTCACTTCAGGAACCAGCACGAAACGTGTAAAAGATTAATGTGTTAATGTAGAGATTATTCACACAGGAGGTTTCATGAGCTGAAGTTAGTAAAAACCTGGAGTGGGAGGAGTCAGCTGTACGGTCCAGCAGAAACGTAGAGCTGGTGTGAAGCTGTTTGTTCACAAACTTCACGTTTCTTCTACGACCACAACATCAGCAGAACTGTGTGTGAAGAAGCTGCAGCTGCTCGTGTTTCGTATCGTCCTCTGACCCACGCACGTTGAAACAAGTGTTAAAACACCGCTCAGTGTTAGTAAAATAATCCTAACGTTACTGTGTTTCAGGTACGCCATCACAGTTTGGTATTTTGACTGTGATGAACGAGCCAAGGCCAAGCAGCGCTTCAGAGACCTCACAGGTACGAACTCCTCGCTTCTGCTCCGAACTCATCCCACTGGTGGTTCTCAACTTCCTGGTTCTGAACTTCCTGTGTGTGTGTGTGTGTGTGTGTGTGTTTCTGAACTTCCTGGTTCTGAACTTCCTGTGTGTGTGTGTTTCTGAACTTCCTGTGTGTGTGTCTGAACTTCCTGTGTGTGTGTGTGTCTGAACTTCCTGTGTGTGTGTGTGTCTGAACTTCCAGTGTGTGTGTGTGTGTGTCTGAACTTCCTGTGTGTGTGTGTGTGTGTGTGTGTGTGTCTGAACTTCCTGTGTGTGTGTGTTTCTGAACTTCCTGTGTGTGTTTCTGAACTTCCTGTGTGTGTGTCTGAACTTCCTGTGTGTGTTTCTGAACTTCCTGTGTGTGTGTTTCAGCTTCCTCTGCTGAGCAGAGCAGCAGCTCGGGCTGATGGGAGGAGGCGCTGCCCTCTGGTGTTGATCCTCTGAGCTGATGGAGACCAGGAAGGAGCTTCAGCTTCCTGGACACCTGGAACAAAAGGGGGAGGGGAAAAAGACTTTAATGGGGGGGTTTGGATCTCGGATGTGTTTTTTCTTTCCAATGATACTGCTGCTGTAAACCCAGGATGTCTTCGTGGACTGCCTCCGTGTCTTCGTGGACTCCCTCCGTGTCTTCGTGGACTCCCTCTGTTTTCTCCTCCTGTTTGTGCAATACTCTGCGGTGAGCTGGGGAGCCCGGCTGCTCGGAGCTTCACCGTCAGCTCGTTACTGAGGAGCGTCGGCCGAACGTCTGACGTTTACAGAGACTCTGTGCTTCCAAACCTGTGGGACAAACGCTGATTATCACAGTTTGAAAGTAAAACGGGATCAAAAGGATAATCCAGTTACTCTTATCAGAGCACAAGGCAAAAGTCTTCATCCAGGCTAGGCTAACATACTTTAGCATCTGTTCCATGAACAGTTTTACTATGCAACACCTGATGTACGTCGGAGTCTGAACACGGACATCATCCAGGGGAGACGGAAGATGGATGAACAGGCCTTTTATTCGTTTCATCTGATATTAGACAGAATCTCCCTTTAATGAGGACAGGGAACTGGTTTCCTGGTCTGACATGTCTGAATATTTACAAGTTATTAATGGTTGTTTTGAAAAATGTTTTTCAGTTGGAATAAAACTTTTTTTTTTTAATATCACCACAGACAAACGTCTTGTTTGAAGACACGTCTGCAAAAGTTTGAATGTTCTGTAAATAAAAACCGATTTAAAATCTAAAACCTGGATTTTATTCACAACGGTTGGTTTTCTTTCAGCGCCCAAGAAACAAATGTTTTACTTCCTGACACAACCTGGACTTGAACCTGCAGCCTCAGGCATACCGCAAATTTTGAATAAAGTAGATGCCATTTCCTGCATTCTGGTGTGTTTTAACGGTTGTTGAACATCTAGTTTTACCTACACAAGAGTAAACAACTGATTCAATAACTATTAGAGTTAATGGTACAACAAGAAGTAGCCTGACCAACAGCTCTCCTTGTGTGAATAGAGCACACTCCACTTCTCACGCATCATAGTCACAGTCTGAGAAACACACATGTAGCCTGTTAACTTTTAGGGGTAAAAAAAAATCACTAGCCAATATGAAACGATAATCACTCTACCAATGGCCTAGCATAAAGCAACATGATCATGTTTATTAGAAGCTTAAAATACTTAATTAAAACTCCATTAGTGGGCAAGGTTACTGTAATGTTACCCAGTTGTACGGTCAAGAGACAAACATGTAGTATTAACACAGTATGAACATTCAGGAATTGTTTCTATAAGAACATCAAATATTTTACGTGAACGGTAAGATCGCTTCACCCACGGGGAAATGTAACGCAGGTTGAGCTAACCTCGGACAAACTAACAAAAAACGCGGCTGTAATGACGGCGGTAGTGAAGCTCACTGATGTTGGAGTGAGTGACGAGGATCTTTACCAGCTTTAGATTCTCATGGAAGGGTTCTACGCTGGCGGTTCAGTCTGGTAGACAGCTATATTCAGATCTGAGCTTTGTTGGTTCAAATCTTACCACTGAAACATTTTTAAAGTCAAAACGGCAAAACTGAAAAGATAAACGAGCTACGAGAAATGCTCCGAGTGTGAAAGGTGCTGGTGGTGGCTCTGTTCACGTTCGTAAGGCGCAAGCTACACAGCAACTGGTCCAAAGCCTGCCTGCTGCTGTACCTGGATCATCCGGATCAGTCCCACACTAATGGGTCCCTGACAATTTCAGATCTGAAAACAGAGGGTTATGGAACCTGGAACTACATTTTCAAGGTTTCCAGTTAGTTTTAGTAATTCAAGGACGATGTTTGTACGGTTATTGTTCCGTTATATTTGCTATATATCGTCTACTGCAGTCCAAACATCATGAATCTTAGTTGGGAGGTTGGTTTCAGAGCAGGGGCGATTCTAGGATCAGACCTTTTGGGGTGCTTAGCCCCCCATACTGACAATGGTTCTTGGCTTGAAACACGCACCCCATGGTGTGGTTTGTGAGAAGTGCAAAGGATCATGGCACCTGGTACTCTCAAGCTACAGGAACGCTACTGGGACAAAAAGTACAGCGGTGCGCAGCGACGAGTCTTTTGACTAGAGAACCAAACCTGATTATTTGAAACTAAACCTTTCATGTCAGCGGTGACACTAAAGCTAGTTTATAATCCATCCATCCATCCATCCATCCATCCATCCATCCATCCATCCATCATGGTTCCTGTAGCAGGATTCTGATGCATCTTTTTTTAAACTCCGTACCAACAGGGAAATGAATCTTGAAGGTCACAGTTCTGGACTTGAACATCTGACACTTTTAGTTTCAATTCAAACGACTCCGACTCTTCTTTAGACCACCTCTCTTCTTGTTTTGTTTGTTTACAGCTAGTTTGTTTTCTCAGTTCTGATTTACTCACAGAACAGAACCCTCTGATGAGACCTTCACTCTGAAACTTCTCCGGTGGTTCTGAAAGAACTGGACCTGAATGTAAAATGACTCTCTGAGCGTCTCTCGTCCTCCAGAAGGACAGAAGCTCGTCTGATTCCACTGATGCTGCAGATCTGAGGGGAACCGAGCGGGACAAGACCATGAATAATTCATGCTCAGATCTTTAGAGACTGTACCAGAACCATGAACTGGATCTTCTGCAGGCTGATCAGGACACAGAGTCAGGTCCAGGCTGGACCACATGACCAGGACCAGGTCGCCCCTGTGGACGAGCCTGAACGGGTCAGATCTCTGTTTGAGGGAAACTTTTCTCAACATTCAGTCAAATCAAACGTCCTTTTCAGTTTCCTCTCAGGTTTAGATTATAAAATAAATTTAGATTGGACTTGTCCTCAGGACCATCGAACGGGTCAGAACACAGAACGAGCCATCTGAGAAACGAAAGCTCATGAACTAATCCTAAATTAAATCAGATTTAGACTCGAGCATTTCCTGTTAGAGCTGTGGCCTTCTGGGTAATCTGTTCGGATTCAGGAGCAACTTCCTGTTTGGGAAGATCAGGAACAGAAAATGTTTCACCTGAAGAAGAGGAGACCAGGTTTCTGAGAGTCCTGGTCCTGAGGAGATCTTGGACCAATCAATCAACCTTTATTTATACAGGTAAATCCCATTGAGCCTCGAGGACTCATTTACAAGAGAGACCTGATTACCTGAGAGACCAGTGAAATGAAAACCATCCATTCACTGGTTCGTCCTCGTCAACTCCTCTCCTGAGACAGACGGACAGAAAAAAAAAAAAAAAAAAAAAAAAATCAAGGATTAAAAGAAGATGACATTTAAAAAAGTTTTCATTCAACTTTTATTTATACAGCGTAGTCTCATTGAGTCATGGAGTCAATTGATTCAATGAGTCACGGAGTCAATCGATTCAATGAGTCAATTGATTCAATGAGTCAATCGATTTAATGAGTCAATTGATTCAATGAGTCAAGGAGTCAATCGATTCAATGAGTCATTGAGTCAATGGATTCAAGGAGTCAATTGATTCAGTGAGTCAATGAGTCAAAATAAATGTTAAAGGAAATGAAAATGAATCCTGAGCGAGAAGTTGTTGATGAAAAGAAGAATTAGAAGCAGAAGATAATGGAGATTTTTATGAAAATAAGCATGAAAAGATTTATTAATATTAAGAAGCTTAAGAAAATGGAGAAATAAGTGAAAGATAATGGAAAATAAACAAAGTGAATAAAAACAAAGAGCAGCTGTTAATTTAAACAGAATCTTAACTCAGAATGTCACAATTTAAATAAATAAATCAAAGTGATCTGAACCCATTTCTGAGGTTCTGACAGGGCCCGGTTCTGCTGCAGCAGTTCTGCTGTTGAGCCTCTGGATGTCCCTGTAGCTCCACTCTGGACCAGCTTCAACAGGTCTGATCACAGATTAGATTTGATCCTTTGAAGGTTTTTACTTTAAATTAATCTGTTGAGTTTTTACTGGCTTCTTAAAGACAAAGACGTTGCCATGGAAACGATGCCCTGATTCATGCAAGTTCCTGGACCGTGGAAAAGAACCGGAGAAAACCCACGAGTGAGGAGAACACGCGTGATTCGAACTCAGCACTGTGACGGACCTAACCGCTGCACCACTGTGCCGTTTCTGCTGCACAAGATCATTTTCTGTTCGATATTTGTTTCTACTTCTAGCCGAGCGGAACAGACCCGGCTCCAGAACAACTGAGCTTTAACCATATGTTGTTTATTAATACAAAACAAATAACTTGAACAGTGACATGTGGTCACCAGAAAATGCTGAGAAATTGTGCTCAAGTTTGCGTAAACTATTTTTGCATAAATCTCAGAAACTAGCATTAATCATTGTGTTTGAAACACCAGAAACTTGAAGGCAACTGCACTGAACTTCAGAAGAGGTGAAATGTTGAATAAAATACTGAACATTTTCAACATTTCCACTCGTTTGTTGAACAAACCTGACATGCAAATAAAAAACTGTGGAAAACCATCTTAAAAAAAATCATTGAACTCAATAATCAGATTTCTGCCTCTGTAGTAAAAATGCATTGAACAGGTTCATCTTTTCAGAGTCTTGAGGAAGGAACCCCTCTGGCTGTTGCAGTCCGAGTCTCCCAGATGACTGAATCTTCTTAATCTGTCCTTCCATTTCCTGGTTAGCTCCTTCTCAAAGGCGAGTTGAATTAAACAAGTTTTCCAGGTATGTAACATGTTTATTCTGTGCTGCTGAACATTTTTCCAAGTGGAGAAATAATTCTCTTTACTGCCTCTAAAGTCCAGTTAATCGCCTACAGCACCCTCTGCTGGTTGTCTCGAGTCAATACACTGCATAGGTTCAACTTGTAATCTGTCTTGGGGGGGTACTTGTGTCTCTCAGGTGGATCAGTGTGCAGACAGCAGTACACCACACCTTCCTGACGTCAGATTGTTCTAAAAACTCACCTGAAGACTCTCCTACCTGCCCCCTCTCCACCTCAGACTCCTGGATCTCTTTGGATTAATCGGAGTTCAAGCAACTTCTAATTTATATGTCGGTCCTCTCAGACGTCTGGAGCCATTTCCAGTCGCTGCATCAGAAAACTGGACCCTGTCAACAGAAACTTTAACCATGTTTGTTTAATCAGGTTTTATGGTTTCACATCAGCGTTGGACAGACTCAAGGCAACACCTGACTCAGTAAAAACACATTTTTAGATTTTAAAACTTTGGATAAAGTAGACGGTTAACGTTCATGACTTGCATGAACTCTCGATGTCCGTTATGCATAAAACATGCACACACAAAAAAAACTCTTCGCACCTTTTACCTCATGTCCAATTAAAAAACAAGACTTTTAAATATTTCATCATTTGCCCATTTTTCTCAAAAGCAAATCTTTAATTAAAAATCTAGACTGTTCATCAGACAGTTTTCTTAATATTAAATATAAACTGTACGTTTATGAACCCATAGATCCCAGAATAAATCAGCTCTGGTCCATGAAATAAATTTAATGTTTTAATCAACACAAACAGTTCCTGCCTGACTGAAAGTCAACGTCACATCATGTCCCAGTAGCAACGACCCGTCTCTAAAATACTTCAACTGCTTTTCATGACGTTTTGACTCCTTGTGGGAACGAGTTGGATCAGCTCAGTGAAAGTGCTGATAAAAAAGGAGAAGCTGCGTTTTCATCTCCAACACT